CAAATTGTGTTCACGGTTCATTTGTGTTCAAATTGATCAATACCGAAAATTGTTACTACTGTGTTTCTTATGCGATTTAGGAATTCATACAAGAATGCACATGGAAGATCAATAGTAAAAAATAAATAATAATATGAATGCATATTTTTTGGGATTTGATTGTTTGTAACTCCCCATTAATTGTTTGGGGGTTACAAATGAATTCAATTTATTAGAATACCCTTGATAAGTGTATTTTTTCTTCCCAAAATGCCCCTTTCATTATTGTTCACTAGACCTCATTAAAATTCAAACTTTAATTTTTTTTTTTATTAATTAATCTTAACCGTTGATTATAAATTTGGATGACCAAGATCAGTTAATAAGGTTAACACAAAAATGATGGTTAACATTTGATCTTGGCCATATATATATATATATATATATATATATATATATATATATATGCGATGTGGTTTGATAACTTAAAACTGTAAACTGCACCATGCAAATTGTACAACATAAATTTTAAACCACATTTTACAATGAGATATGGTGCGGTGTGAAACAACTTAATAATATATTTAATATATAGGAAGTGTTTGAGACTGCTTATTTAAAACAACTTATATTTTTTTTTTTTTGTAAAAGTGCTTATCAACTTATCTTGTGTCAAATCGGAGTTCTAATAAAAAGTGTTTGAATTAACTTATGGTGATACCAAAACATAACAAGTTGATAAATTGTTTTTTAGTGTTTGAATTTTTTTGCTTATAAATGTAAAATGACAAAAAAGACCTTGTGAAATCGAACCGAATAAAACTTTGTGAACCCATTTCTCCATTTATCCCTCCTCCCATTTCTATAAAATCAAATCAAACATGGACCATCTCCATTTCTCCCAATTCATTGAAATCGAACCAAATAGGGACCATCTCCATGGAAGTCGACAGATATCGAAACCAAAAAGGGAAATCTTGATGAATACATGACTTTCAATAGTGAAGGTCAAATTTTCACCTGATTTTCATTGTCCATGTGCCTCGATAAAAAAACAGTACAAGTCGACTTTTTAATAGTGAAGGTCAATTTCACACCTGATTTCCATCGTCCTTGTGCCTCAAATAAGAAACTTTGAGGGTCCATTTTCAACAGTAAAGATCAATGTTGATGAAGGGGTGTTTGGGATTAGAAACAATTTTGGTGAAGGTCGGTTTTTGATTTTACAGTGAAGATCGATGTCAATGTCGATTTTTTATTTTCGATTTTGCAGGTTAAGGTCGCTCCAATCTAAAGCGTAATTTAGGTTTATGGTTAAAACGGTAAATTTGTTTTCAAAGCTAATAAGTTGAATATGATAAGTTAGAATGCTATAACTTGTCAAAAACTTTTTATTATCGGTTTGACACCGGTATAAACAAATTCTTTTCCTTCCCATCCAAATACTGAAAATTGATTATCACCGATACCACACCCAATAAGCCAATAAACACTTTAAATAAAACAATCCTAAACACCCCATATTGATTTTCTGAAAGCTGGTTAAGGTCTAAACAATCAGATAATTTTTATTTATTTATCAGTAATCATTGAATGTAACTTTTGAGCTTGACTCAAAAGGTCAAAAATACCTGAAGATCTCCAGTTTAAATCCGAGGAGGAATAAAAATCCCCTTGTGGCCACGTAGATTCAAATACCGTGAATCCAGACTATTTGCAAAACAGGTGGTCATGCTAAGATTTTAGTCGGCTCGCATAATGGATTGGATATTTATGTTAATTAAAAAAAATTGGAACTTTCGAATTATGTTTTTTTTGATATTGTTCTTCTATTTAATTAAACATTTTCGTAAATTTATTACCTACTTTTGTAAGAACATATGCCCAGGTTGCTCACCCAGACATATTTAACTTCCTTCATACCTTTCCTCTTTCTAAAACCCTCACTCACAAGTCACATCACAAGTTACAACAGCTATGGACAACAGTGGTACGGCGAACGATGTTGCCCGGGCTATTCTCACCGCCCTTGGCTGGAATTCTTCCTCCGATGATCGCAAATCGGCCATGTCCTACCTAGAATCTGTATGTTGATTCTTGTTCTACTTTACATTCGTAAATATTCATCCATATGTGTGTATAATGTTTTACTTTACACTAGTATTGCGCTATTCGGTTTTCTTTTGGCAAACGTTTTTACTTTGCGAGGCTGATCATTTGATGTCTAGGTATTAGTAGCAGTGTCATATTTTGAAGATTATATTTGCTTTTGTCATGTCATGTATGGAAAGGGGATGAAGGCGTTTCTGCGAGGTTCTGTAGCTGATTAGAGATTGAATAAATTTATGAGATTATGCAGTTCTCTATTTCACTTCCCAAATGGATTTTGATGTTTTCTCACGGAGGTTTCGAATATGTATGTGTGTGTGTTTCTGTTGTGATTGTTTGGTAGTTCCAATCAATTATTGATGATCATACAGGTTAAAATCATGGATGTGAATGTAATACCTTCATTTGCAACATCTTTACTAGCAATGCTAGCTAACCCTTATGCCAAAGATAGTTATGCTTCATAAAATGTTGGAGTTGAAAGGTAATCCAAGTTGAAAATCGAAATAGATAACCAATAAAAATTAACAATAACAACAAGAAAAAACTGAAAAAAACAGTTGAAGAGAAATTAGAAGGTGAAGAAGAGAAGAGTGGAAAAAAAAATCTACATATAACTTTGCCTGCGGTTGTAGCCTGTTTTGTGTTTCTTTCTGTTCCCAAATGCAGTTTTCTTTTTGTAGAAGTTGAAAAAATTAATTATGAAAAATAGAAGCAGAAAGAGTGGATTGTGAAATACAGAATGAATTAGAAGAAAAAAAGAAAGAAAAAAACTAACAGGACCATTGTAACAATTTTTTGGTTGTGTCATTGAATTTCTTGTATGTTGTTATGCAATGTAGATATCTGGAAAAATGCTTCTTGTTGTATTCACATACATTTTGCTCATTAAGCTTTGATGATCCTTTTTCCTGTAGGTAAAAGCTGGGGATGTCCGTGTATTGGCAAGCACATCATTTGTTTTAGTTAAGAAAGAGTGGTCTTCTGAAGTTCGTTTGCATGCATTTAAATTGTTGCAGGTATCTTCCTTACTTCTAAGCTGATGTGAAATGTGTGTGAACATATGCTGAATAGAAAGAAGATACTCATCTGTGTCTGTAAAATCAATTAAACAATAAAGAGATCACCACTCTTTTAAACGGGGTACACTAGAAAATTCACCTAAGACCACCAATGATGCTCCAAGTACAAGTCAAACAATAAATCTAGTTCCCGTTAGCAACCAATGCTCATAAAACGCGGATCGATCAAATATACGGAACTGGTTTGTACTCTAAACTCGGTTGTAATCAACATAACGAGAATGTATGGCAAACAATAAACGAACGAACATAAAGTAAATGGGCGATAGAAGAACACTATTATTTCATGGGAAATCCAAAACAGAAAAAACCATGGGTGGAAGAGGCGAGAAAATCCACCACAATAGGTGTTCTTGATAGAAGATTGAAGGATTAATGCTCTTACAAGAGAAGAGAGTGTATGTATATGGTGAGTAGGTAGAATATCTATATTAGGGAACAAGCGAAAATGCCTAAAGGGCTCACCGGTCTATTAGAGGACTGCTGTGACATTAATGGAAAATATGGGACCATTTGGTAATTTTTGTGATGCTCAGGGGATGTTTTCTATTAGCTAGAAGTAGAGGGGAGTGCTTGCTCTGTCTGCTTGTTATTGTTCCTGATGAGGAGTCAAAAGGTCTTGCTGTTGAGGAGTGCCCCTGTGTGAAGTCCTTGGGATTTACCTGCTGAGGTGACTCGTCCTGTGTCCTTGGTTTTCTTCTTCTGGAGTTCTCATATGTACATTGGGTTAGACTGATCTGATGGGCGGATTCACATAGTGTAAGCAGAGAGAATGTTTTTTGTATTTTACCTCAAGCCATGATATTATATTTATACCCAAAAAAACCTTAACTAATATCAGTAAAACTAGGAACATAATGCAGGCTAGTCCTACTACATCTACCTATTTACATTTAGACCTTATACTTCTACACATGGTTTTATTTGGTTTGGCTGGTTGGACCCCCTCCCCTTGCCCTGTTGCTAGGATTTGTTCTTATTTTTGGATTTGGTTTGCTTGGCGTCCCGTCGATACTTAGTTTAATGTTTGACTTATTACGCTTGTGCCTTCAGTTCCAACATCTTGATCGACATACAAATTTCTGTCGTTGCTACTAATGCCTAGGGAGTTGCTGGCTGTTGCACACTTCAGTTTTCTTTGAGATCTAATTATCTTATTACGGGGAGAAAACAGGATCTTTTGAATTAGGAAAATTGCGTTCTGTTTTGCTTCATAAGTTTGGGCATGCATGGCATCCAGGTTCCGACTTGAGGAGTGTCGAAAGAGAGAAATTGAACGCTTTGACATTTTATTGCCAGCCCTCTACTTTTTGTCATCTATAGGAATTGCATATCGCTGTCTTTATCTTTCTAAAAGTGTCTGGTGGTTGGAAATGATTCTACTTTTGTACTCACATGTCCTTCCTTGCAGCATCTAGTGCGGTTACGGTGGGATGAGCTAACCCCTGAAGAAAGACGAGAGTTTGCAAACGTGTCTATTGATTTAATGAATGAAATTGCAAATAGCTGTGAGGAGTGGGCTCTAAAAAGTCAGACAGCTGCCCTAATTGCTGAGGTCTGCTTCTGTTTTCAAGTTGAATTTAGTAAGCCTCTTGATCAAGTTCTATGTGTGTAGAAAGTTCATTTGTCTTGTTTTCATATTGTTTCTATTTTGGTACAGATAGTTAGGAGAGAAGGCTTAAGTCTATGGCAAGAACTTGTACCGTCTCTAGTATCTCTTTCCAGCTCTGGTCCTACACATGTAAAGAAAATCCGTTCCCTGTTCTTTTCTATGTACTTTCACTAAAATTTATCAAATTTTGCACAAGGCAAATCAAGCTGATTTATGTTCTAGTTTTAGGCTGAGATGGTGTGTATGATGCTAAGGTGGCTTCCGGAAGATATCACCGTTCACAATGAAGACTTAGAAGGTTTGCTTCACTACTTTGGTCACCAATCCAATTTCTATTAGTTTAAGTGGTTTCGAGATCTCATTACGATTCTTTATATGGCTTTTATGTGTTTGTTTATACGTTATATGGTTTCCATTAGTTTATGTTTTTGTACTTTATATGGGTTGCATTTGGGGTTTGCATTGAGAGTGATATGTCAACCCTCCAGGGGGTTAGTATTAGACCCTGTTGCTTTCCTTTCATCCACATAGTTTTCAAGGTTCTGAGTCAAGGTAAAAGAAGTAAAATCTGGATACCGTATGGTTCACTTTTGGAAATCTAATTCTTTAGTGTGCTTATGTCGAAGGCAGTGGTGTTAAAGATACAAGGTGCATGACAGTGTAAAGGTCCCCTGGCGTCTAGGCTCAAGGCGCTAGGTTAGGTGCATGTCTCATTGAAGTTAGGCACACGAGTTATAATCAGTTTCAAATATATGTGCATAAATAAATTCACAAACTTACATCCTATGGATATTACAACTGCTTAATCAATTATATACATGAACTTGTTAGGCCGTTGGTTAGATTTAGGTTGGATCAGCTAGTAATCTGATGTGTAAGTAGATCACAATCTGATTCTTTAGCTATTAGATTGTGATATGGTCCTTGATTTCATTAAGCCAAGCAAACAGACCATAGATCAACCCATTTATTTAATAATATGCAAAAGATGATAAATACAAATTAAGACACATGTACCATATAAATCAAAATACATTCACATTCATATCATGCAATCTGTAAAACATAGCATCTAAAATGTTATCTTATAACATATTTTTCCGACATAAATTGAAGGATAAGACACTTATTGGCTGCTTCTAATGCCTCTGATCGATAAGAGCCTTCGGTCGGAGGCTGTGTTGTTTACTATTTTTTGCTTTTTTCATCTATCAGTGATGCTTTTAGGGGCTCTTACTCATTCGGTGACCGACCTTTTGCTTACCCATTCAATGGTCGTACTAAGCCTCTTAATTGATTCAACCCTTGATCAGAATTTTTGGTAAACAACCCTTATATTTGTAATGATCAGAATTCTTGGTAAATGACCTTATATTTGTAATGTACAAGTTCTTAAAGCATAAAGAATTTCAACATAGACATATATTTACTACACAAATTATTGCATACCAACAAGGCAACAAGAAATGCAGTTTTGTATGATGCAGTTAACTAAAGCACACCGTCTATGCATATTGGACAATGCGTTTGTGTTCTACTTTTGGCTTGAGGTTCTACTTTGTTACTGACTACATAGGCAATCATTGTTCTTTTTTTTAATTTAGAAAGTTCTCAAGGTTTCTGTTCAATATAGAGAAAAGTAAAACCTGAATGGAGTATGTGCTCATCATTTGATGCCAAATTATTGGGTGTGCGTAGAGCATCCACAGTAGAGGTTCTTACAAGAACCTCGTTTTTCTACTTTTTAATGTCTCATCAGCCCCGACTCAACAAAATAAAACCCCCAATAAAACTCCACAGTAGAGGTTCTTACAAGAGCCTCATCTTCCTACTTTTTATTTACAAATAATTATAACTTTATTAGTTTACTTATTCATAGATAATTTATATGTTTAATTCATGCGTACGTATGTGTGTGTGTGTGTATATATATATATATATATAAATTAGTTTACACTTTTTACATCAATTTAATTTATATTTTTTATAAATGTTTTGTAGACTTGTTAAAGTAAAATACATTAAAGTAGTAAAAAACAAAAACAGTACAGGAATCAAGACAAAATCAGGGTTCTTGTTCAAGCACCTGGGTTCTTGTAAGAACTTGTGGCCACAGTAGAGGTTCTTACAAGAACCTGCTGAAGAACCTCCACAGGAACCTCTCTGTGGATTCTCTTATGTCAAAGTCAATGAAGATTATCCAGGAGGCCATGTCAAAGTCATTGATGCTCACTTTTCTTACAAACATGTTTTGCAACTACTGTTGCTTGTTGATAAATTCATTCTAAGACACCTTTGCTTAGATTTCCTTTACACAACTCACTCCCTTTTTGCTTTCAATCTATGCAGGTGATCGGCGTAGACTGTTGTTACGTGGGCTAACTGAATCTTTGCCTGACATTTTGCCATTGTTGTATACAGTAAGTGTTTGTTTATTTCTATCTATATAAATTGCATGCTTGTGCTTATTTTGTTACATGTCTCATGAAATAGTTATTAGAGAGGCACTTTGGAGCTGCCATGACTGAAGCAGGTCGGCAACAACTTGACATTGCAAAGCAACATGCAGCTGCAGTAACAGCTACTCTTAATGCTATCAATGCTTATGCTGAGTGGGCTCCTCTGCCCTATCTTTCAAAATATGGCACGATCCATGGGTATTTTTTTGATCCTTCCTATGCAATTGGACAGCGATTCTACCTTTTTTTCTGTTTCAAATTGGGAATTGTTAGAATAGCCAAGCATGTGTCTGTTATGTGCGATTCATTGATGGTCGCCTTTGTCTGTGTTATCCTTTGTTATACATGTATGCATATGCATATGCATTTGCTTTTTCTTTTTCTTTTTTGAATGTATATTGCAGTCTACGATCAACACAATCAGGGTGTGGTATCCCTCTTGAGCATTTTTTGCAAGACATTCCTGTTACATGCTTATGTCTCTCTGTTGGGGATAAAAAGATGGGGAACATAGTTTGTCACTAAAGCTAGATGGGTCTAGTTTTCATTGGGATATGATATTAGTTTCTTATGTCATACCTAGGGATTAAGTTATCTAAATTTATTGTTCCTATCTGTCCATTTGGTGTCTTTTTGTCCAAGTGGTATCATGTTTACTTGTTCTCCGGCCGTCCTTATGATTTACTCATGGCTTACTATATGTCCCTCACGTTTGCTTTCCATGTCATATGTAATATGTAAGATACTATCTAGGAATGAGCATCAGTCTGCATTCTTTTACAGAAAACATTTCCATATATTAGATTCTAACAGGAGCCTTTGATATTCTTTCCCTCTATTAGTTGTGGCTTCTTACTCTCTTCTCCCGATTTCCGGCTTCATGCGTGCGAGTTTTTCAAGCTTGTGTCCTCAAGGTAAACCAATCGTACATTTCTTTGCCTGTTACTCTCTCCTTGGTTCCAGTGATTTCTGTTTTCAATAAAATTCAAGAGTGATATGAACTTTATTAGCTACTAATTTTCCCCCTGATCCCACTTATTGAAAGGTTAGTTGAATTCTACTCTGTGTCATAAAAATAAATGTTTACAATGAAAAAGTCAACACTGTTTTAGAAATGTGTAATTATTACACCTTTTATCGACTAAATGACATTTTTACCCTTAATGAGGAGGTAATGAATTTCTTCCTCTCACAACTAAGGGTAGAATTGGATCGTTGGCACTTTCTTTTGAAATTGGACAGTTATTCTGTGGCAGACTAAAATAGAAACATGGACAATTATTTTGGGATGGAGGGAGTATTAAGTTACTAAGGTTGCTCCTGATCCCACTCATTGACAACTGATTATACATACATCGTTAAGACAAGGCATCTTGATTACATAAAACAAACAATTTCAAAACTTGAAAATGGATGGTCTGCGTTTTACGAGGAAAAGCACCAAAGCAATCTTATTAGGCAATATCTGAAATGTTAGAGAATTGAAGACCAAGAAGTTTTGCATAAGCTTACTAATGACTAGGCTATTAGCCCCACAATAAGATGAATGCTTCTTTGCCAAGAACCTTATTGATTGATGCTGGGCGTGATCTGAATAAATACTTCTAAAATCTAGGTTAAAAAATAACATGTAAGGCACTATGACAAACAAGTTAGTTGTCTACCTGTCTTAACTCTTAAGGTAAATCAAGTAATGCCCTGACCCCTGATCAACAATATAGTCGGAGGGAACAACTATATTTAACACCTAATTTCATGGTTAAACACCTAAATTGGAAACCCTGAATAGGAGAGGACAGGTTCGCATAAGGAGTATTTGTTGTTGTGATTTGGAAATGGTATTTAGAGTGGGCCTGAAATGTTATATTGATGATTTCTTCACTTTGAGTTGTGGTCTGCAGGAAGAGACCAGTTGATGCAGATTCTGATTTTGATTCTGCAATGAGCAGCATCCTTGTGATATTGATGAATGCGTCTACAGACTTTTTGAACAGATCAGAGTCGGGTTATGGTGTTATCAATGATAGTGACTATGAGTTTGCGGAGTGTATCTGTGAAAGCTTGGTGGCTTTGGGTTCTACAAACTTGCAATGCATCACTGGTGATAATGAAAGGCTATCTCTGTATTTACAGAAGGTAATTAAATTATTAATTTGTGTTAGACAACTAATAAAAATGGAACTGCATGGTGATTTTCATCCTTGTGTTTCTTGGTGAAAGTTAGCATAGAAGTTTGTGACTTTGCTTTCTTCGACCATGGAATGTTGCGGGCTTGGGCTATAGGTGATTTGTATTATCTTATATATTGCCTAATCAACAGATCAGTTTCATCAAATTGCTACTGTATTTCCTTTTTGAAAAGCTAAAGCCTTTTATATCTCTCTATCTATCAAGTTCTGACCAGATTCCCTTTTCATTTGATCTTTCTTTTGGAGAACCATATGCCTGTTCTATTTGTCTCAGCTCCTACAGCTTCCTTGCAATTTTGCTCTTTACTTTATCAGACATGAATTGTTCTTATAGGAGTTCCTAATTCAAGTTTWGCTAAGCTGATAATTAAATGATTCTATTTATGATCCTAACTTGAATGTCTTTGCAGATGGTGCAGTATTTCAAACATTATAAGCTCGAGCTTCACTATCAGTCTCTTATATTTTGGCTGGTATGTAGAAAATTTGTGCAAATAGCTTTTGTGTGGGGTTTCTGTAACAGTATGTACTGAAAGGTTCATCATGTTTGTTTACAATGGTAGGCATTAATGAGAGATTTGCTCTCGAAGCCAAAGACTTCAGTTGGAGACGGTTCAGTTGACAATCTGACATCTGGTTCAGGGCAGGCTGATAATCAGAAGAGAATGATCTTACCTTTTGTGAATGATGAAATCTGTAGCATCATGTTGGATATATCTTTTCAGAGAATGCTTAAGAAAGAGAAAGCCAATCCTGGAAATGAACTTTCTGGTGGGGCATTGGAATTATGGGGTGATGATTTCGAGGGAAAGGGAGATTTTGGCCAGTATCGTTCAAAGCTGGTGTGTATGTGTGCATGTTTGTGTTTTGCTGTCTTTTTCTCTTCAATCAAGTCATCTACATATCTGTTCCATTTTCCTAACATTAATTGTTATAATTTTGGATTGTAGCTGAAGGGTCAAGCATTGTTTGACAAACATGCCATGTTACTCTATGCTTGTGTTGTGAGTATAGATAAAACTAGTCGTAAACGCAAAAAAAGGCAGACTAAGGAAGGGGACCTTGGTCATGGGGTGTTAAGTATTTTTAATTAACTAAAGATAATTGATAAGTCCTTCACCAAATGAAGTTCGCTATGATTTAAAAGCGAATCTTTATTTTCATACTACTAAAAGGTTGTTTAGAATAAAACAAGTGTATGGATATGCTTCTACCTGGTATGTGCAGTAGCAGTGACCTTGAGATGGTGCTGTCCCTGCAAAGTTGGGCAATGATGACATTTTTAGATACAATTTGGGCAATAAGCTGTCATATTCCATGTTATATGCTGCTACTCAAGGTTTATTTTGAAATGTCTTACTGATGCTGATCAATGTTAATCCAATTTTAAGGGTAATAATAAGAAGTTTGTGCTGCTCGTTCTTTCTGCTTATTTTCTCACAAGTTCTGGTAGCACTTGGTGAGACTTGTGCATTTATCTTTATTACTCCTGCTGACTTGTAAATACTATATGCAGTTGGAACTCATTCGACTTATCGCGTCTTTCAAACCCCTTATCGCCGTTACAAAGGTTTCTGACACAGTTATTTTGATCATCAAGAACCTTCTGCTTTCTCCACTGCCTTCTGGGGTGTGAATCATACTCTCCCTTCATTACTTAAGTATAATTTTGGTTGTCATCGTCATTTCTGTAACTTGTTAACGTCTCAACAAGACCCATCATCTTTCGTCTCATGAATACCTTTTGTCAATACAAATTTCAGAATTTGGCCATACTGGAAAGCATGCAACTTGCTTTGGAGAATGTTTTGGGAACAGTTTTTGATGGTCCAAATGATGATAATGGGAGTGGCTCAGATGCTCAACTTGCTTCATGCAGAGTACTTGAAGGTTTTCTTACTTGTGTTCTTAAGAGGTTTTAACATTCTCATCCAATGCTGAATTCACCATTTACTGTAAACTGTAGGTCTACTTCAGCAACTTCTTTCTCTAAAATGGACGGAACCTGAATTTGTTGAAGTACTGGGGCACTATTTAGAGGCACTGGGTCCCTTCTTGAAGTATTATGCCGATGCTGTTGGAAGTGTCATCAATAAACTGTTTGAGCTCCTAACCTCATTGCCAATTGTTATGAAGGTTTGCTTTCAGTTATATTTTATATGAAATTTCATGATGAATGCAAAAACTTGGCTTGTAGTCGAATTAATATTTACAATTCCGTTGTTTGGCAGGATCCTTCAACCAGTAGAGCTAGACATGCAAGATTACAAATTTGCACATCCTTTATACGATTAGCCAAAACTGCTGACAGCCGTCTTTTACCGCACATGAAGGTATTCAACTTGCATGGGTCCTAGTTGAGTGTCATATGGATAAAGTATCTCGAGTTGATGAAAGACAGTTAATTGACTGTTATAAGGAATGCAAACTGTTAATTAACTGTCATATGAACAAAGTATCAGAAACTGCTACCCTGGTTTAGTTTGTCAATAGATGAAAAAAAGCAACCGCTGTTCTTCTGAGCAATAATGTGAATAACTCGATGAGAACACAGAATCAGCCCTACAGTGCACAAACAATTTGGTCATTTCCCTTAGAGGGGGGGTTACATACTGCTGTCTGCTGGGGGGGTTTTAGAGCCAACAATTATTTTAGAAGACTTTGAAGAGGATATATCAGGAGTTTGTTTCTTGGAGACTAGTCGAGAAACTACACGGTGATGCGTGCTTTTGTGCATTTGTTGACTTTCAACCCGTGGAGTCTGCAAAACATTCAGTTCTTTCATCGCCATTTCCTGAAAAACAGTAGATATGTTTGTCCTCATTAGAACAGAATTAAACTGATAATGATATATGAAACATTGTTGTCAGTTACCCAGACATCATATCATTTTCCTAAGAAACATGTCGTTTGAAAGAAAAATACAGAGAAAAGTTGAACCTCAAAAGTAAAACTAATGAACCGAAGCACCTGGGTACTACTAAAGGCTCTCAAAAAATTCTCTTAAAACTTGTTTAGGACTAACAAGGTGTTTGTTCCCCTCAAGGCACCTCTTTAAAGAGCATCTTCGCTTAGGGTTGAACAAAATAGTCATCCTTTGCTGCACACCTCTCAAGTAAACCCAGCATGCTCTTATTAGGTTTGAACAGAAAAGTCATCCCTTTGAGAGAAACTTCTCAAATCCCATCACACTTTTACGTCCTCTGTAGAGTTTGAAAGGGGAACTCTCGCATTAGGGTTGGGGGGAAACCATAGCATATCATCTTCTTGTTCATTTTTTTTTTGAATGTCTTACTACCTTGAGATCATTGATTGGATTTCATTCATGGATGGATGTTTTGGATTTACAATGTCATCTGTTCCTTGTTATGGTACTTCGGTATCATCAAGAAAGAGACCTACAGTTGTACTTGGTAATGGATTTTGTTTCCATACTTCAACACATGGATTGCCATCTACTCTTTTTGTTTTGATTCCGTCTTTCTCCATGCATATATGTGACAATCCTTAGTGGCATGCATATTCATATTTCACTTTCTAAGCAAGGCCATGCAGCATCAAGTCTGAGGACCAACAGTGCCCCTAGAGATGTAAATGTGGTGATGCATGCTCCAGTGTGCATGCATGTTTAGAGTGATATACAAACACAAGATCTCAAGGCTATTCTTAAAGTTCATCTCCTGCTAGGGATGTTTATTTAGGCTCAAGAAGTTGATAGCTGTGTTTCGTGCGTTGAGATACTAAAACAAAATTGGGAAGGAAATGAAACGGCCTATTGATGTTTACCATGAATTCTGCTTCAAAACCAGAAGGTGTTAGATGTAGCTAACAAACTAACATGAGGAAAATGGCAGCTGAGTACCGCAAATCGTCTCAAGTACTATCACACATTAGATTCTCCAAGATGGGCCAAACATAGTCATTAGCATTTTGATATGAACTCCTAGGAGGATTCATGTCCTCAAGGATCTATAGGATGAATTCAGGGAAGTGGTGCTGCAATCTATATGAGCATCACATTCTCCCAAGTCCCAAGCTTCTTCTTCACTGCTACCATTTCCACATTGTACTAGTACCTGATGGATATACCTGAAGTTCCTGGTGGTTATCCTTGTATCTAGCATCATGAGTGGCACAACATCCAGGTCCTCCCTTGTCTATTCCAGAACTTAATCAATGCACAAGAGCCAGTTATCACTTGATAATAAAGCATCAGATCATCAAACGTTTTTATGTACTTAATACTTATTCAATTTAAAGTGATTTTCGCAGTTAGCATCTCTCTTTTTCCTACAACTTGTATATGTAGGACAAATTTACTGTTCTCTTAACATATGATTCATCTCAACACTCGGTTGGCTCATCTGTATTCCACTTGGCATTTGCATAAATCAACGAAGCCGAAGCAGAATAGGAAAAAACCCGTGGAAAGCTGTCTGTCAGCGGTGATATTTTTTTCTTTCTTTCTCTATATAGAGAGAGAGTTTTCAATATTCAACTTTTTGAACCATTAAAACTGCTTCAAGAAAGAACACCATATTCCAAAAGGAATTTTATGCTGCTTTGTTACAAACTGAGTGTCCTCTTTTAGTTTCAAATGGATGTTTAGAGACCTTGCTTTACTTAGATGGATCTAATTCCTTTTTATGGAGGAAGGTAACTTAACTGAGAGATTACAATGTCATGGTAAAGATTCAAATAGAAGATTATGCAAGTGGACACGAGTACTTGTGGAAGTGATATTCATGTCCTTCTTCAAAGGAATCTTGTTGTCCTTATTCAAAGGAATCTTGTTGTCCTTCTTCAAAGGAATCTTGTTTGTACGTGTTGCAATATATTGTATATATATTTCTTACCAAATCTTTTCTTTAACAGGGCATAGCAGACACAGTAGCATATTTGCAAAAGGAAGGGCAATTGCTTCGTGGCGAGCATAATATTTTTGGTGAAGCATTTCTCATTATTGCATCTGCTGCTGGGTAATTCACTAATTTGCTTCTTCAGTGACTTTTTTGTTTGTTTGCTTGGTGTTTGATGATGTTGGCCTTGACCATTTTGTTTACTGCTGCAGGTCTCAACAGCAGCAAGAAGTTATGACCTGGTTGCTTGAGCCTTTGAGCAATCAGTGGACACAACTCGAGTGGCAAAATTCATATTTATCTGATCCGGCAGGCCTGGTGAAATTGTGTGCGGAGACACAGTTTATGTGGTCATTATTCCACACGGTTACATTCTTTGAGAAAGCACTTAAGAGGAGTGGTGTTAGAAAAGGCAACACTAATATTAATAATTCTATAGCATCTTCTATTCCATCACATCCATTGGCTTCTCATCTGCCCTGGATGCTACCACCTCTTCTGAAAGTAAGTTCCTACTTTCTGTGTTTTACCATCTTATTTGCTCATATATTCCTGGACAGACCACACTCATGCTTTAATATTTGCATTCAGGAGCCTGGTCGATTTTCTTATCTGGTGACACTTCCTGAATGTGTTGCTTCTTAGATGCATATTTCCAAATAGCATATACTTTTAGTAGTGCAAAATCCATGTCGATAATTGAATTTACTGCTTCGTAGTTGATCATGAAGGAACAGGGCTTCTTTATATGGTACTAAGAATATGTCACATATAAGTTAAGCATGTTTTATATCCAAATATGCCTTTTACTCGTGTCATGTTTATCTCTGCAAGAACTATGATTAATGTTTGTGGCTTGTTTTTCTCTGCAGCTTCTTCGTGCTATACATTCTCTTTGGTCCCCGCCTGTAACTCAATTGTTACCTGGCCAAATAAAGGCTGCTATGATCATGAGTGATTTTGAGCGAACCAGTCTTCTTGGGGAAAGTAACCCTAAAGTGCCCAAGAGTGCAATTACTTTTGCTGACGGTTTCCACTTGAATATGAAAGATGGAAATGGTGAACCAAATGAAATTGATATCAGGAACTGGTTAAAAGGTATCAGAGAGAGTGGGTAAGTAACCAAAATTACAATATTGATGATCTTGTGCATGCGGAGCTAGAAATTGTTTACGTTGATTGTACCTCAATTTGTTGTCGAACTTTTTCTAATGAGTTGGAAAATCTTCTTTAGAATTTTTTTACTTAAACCGATTTCGGAAGTAACATTGCATGAAGTTATTATTAGACATTCTAGCAGACTTTGGATTTTACTCATAGAGACTGGGCTATGCCTAACTTATCCGAATGACATAATCTTTTAGGATATTTTTTCTTAGATCTATCATCCCATGTAAGATTTAGATGGGTTCTAAAAATTAAAACCTATACTGAAACTGAACACTGAAGATTAAATTTATCAGAAAACATAGGAACACCGAGTTTCTTAATCTAGAGCTTACTATACTCTTGATTCTTGGGACTACTTTCAAATACTTGCCGGTAGGGGTTACATGAGCCTACGCCATAGGACTTGCAGGTTGTGGGTTCAATTCCACCCATATGGATGCTTTTAATTTTAAATATCTCTGCAATATCTCAATTGTCTGATCATACTACAGCTCTATTGCATCATATTACCAATTTTGTTGGGATTCTTTTCTGCTAGAATAATATTAGGACACTTGTTACATTTTATGCTATTTGATTAATGTACAGCAGAGAGTTGATGATGCTTATTCACTGGCACCAGGTATAATGTATTGGGGCTGTCAACAACAGTTGGAGATTCATTTTTCAGATGCACAGATATTGAAGCCATTGACTTGGCACTAATGGAGAATATTGGTTCGATGGAGTTCAGACATATGAGGCAACTTGTTCATTCAATTTTGATACCACTAGTAAAGAATTGCCCCACAGAGCTGTGGGATGTATGGTTGAAAAGGCTCCTATATCCGCTGTTTGAATATTCTCATCAGGCTCTGAGATGCTCATGGTCTGGTCTCTTGGACGAAGGGAGAGCGAAGGTTCCAGATCTTCATGGAATTTTAGGTGGATCTGATTTAAAAGTGGAAGTGATGGAAGAAAAACTACTTCGAGATTTAACTCGTGAGATTTGCTCGCTTCTTTCAGTTTTAGGTTCTCCTGGATTGAATTGCGGGCTTCATTCAGAGCAGTCTGGGCATGGCAGTCGTAGTGATGTATTGGCACCTAAAGATTCGGATGTTATGTCGAGCTCTGTAGTTGGGTACGTATGATGTACTAGTGCTTAAGGCCAACGGTTATATGATAAATTCATCTTCTTTTAAGTTTTAACTTCCACTAATTGCGACTCTTTGCAGGTTTCTTTTGAAGAACAAGGATATTGCCATTCCTGTTTTACATTTGTGTTTAGATGCTTTTAGATGGACTGATGGTGAAGCCACTATTAAGGTTGCATCCTTTTGCGGAGCCGTTGTTCTTCTGGCTATCTCGACAGATAATGTTGAACTCCGGCAATTTGTTTGTAAAGATTTGTTCTCCGCGATAATCCAAGGTCTAGCCCTTGAGTCAAATGCTTTTACCAGTGCCGACCTGGTTGGTCTCTGCCGTGAAATATTTGTAAACTTCTGTACGAAAGACCCAGCACCCAGACAAGTTAGTGCTTTTAACTATTTCTATACCTTGTCAATTATGTTTTCTCCAACCTCTCCTGATGCCGACCCCACTTCGTTGGATAAGTCAGTGTGCTGTGATCGAGTCTCCATGGGAGATGAACAAACCACCTCAAACAATGTTCCTTAAAAAAACAAAGTAAGCCAAACACACATAGTATGTCTCACTTGGAAGTAGGGTCTTAGGGGATGTACGCAGACTTGTCCAATACCCCAAAGAGTAGAGCGGTTGTTTCTGTGAATTCCTCCGGCTTGCGAAAAGGTGTTTGCAAAAAGATTTTGGTGAAAACCCGAGTGATTCAAAAAGTTTGTCAAACAATCTTTATTTGTCCTCGTATTTAAACCTTTCCAATTATATTTTGCATGATAACACAATTTAATTATTAAGCTTTCCATGCTTTAATTTCTATCCTCCGAGTGTTAACTGGTGAATTTCTGTAGATTTTGCTCTCTCTTCCTTGCATTGCACATCAAGATCTGGTTGCCTTTGAAGAGGCATTGGGGAAGACCAGTAGCCCTAAGGAACAAAAACAGCTTATGAAAAGCTTCTTGTTGGTAGGCACTGGAAACAAGTTGAAAGCCCTTGCTATTCAAAAAAGTGTGAATGTAATCACAAATGTTGTCGGTAAGAACCTTCTGCAATCTACTACATTATTTTCTCTGGTTTTCAGTACACTTCATTTTCAAGTGAAAGTATAAATAGTTTGCCCTAGTGGTTTTACAAACATGGCATATATCCATTTGTGCATTAATTTAGTAAATGGAATCCTTTAGTGAATCAATGATGGCAATTTGAGGTTTAACGACATGTTTGGAGACCTGGTTTAGTTCCAAGTTGTCGGAGTGAAGTAAAAGGAAGTTTAATCAAGCTTTTGTTGGCATGCTTTTTAATGATGCTTCTATGCATTAATGATTTTCTCTGACAACTGTTATGGTGCGTGAGAAATTTGTAGTTCTTTCTTGAGGAAATATTCTCTTTAATGCAAACGTTTCATAAGAACATATATATACAAGATTTTACTAATAGACAATGCAGCATGTTGTTTAATACTTAACATCTCATGTGCCAAGCTCCAGCTTCATTCCTGAACTGGAAACACGTTGACTTTTCTGGTTGAACTTTATCGTCTTAGTCACTTAGATTTACAAGTACTTGCTGATTCTATTTTTATAAATACTACATATGCACTCAGGAAATATGTATATACACCCATATAATATTTATACATATAATACACATGGTATATACAGGCACGTGCATATGCATATAAACATATGTAGCATCTACATATATGCATAAGTATGGATATAGATGCATATACTATATACCTGTGTTTTAAAAATCCTCACACAGGTTCACTTACCCGTCTAGGATTTAAGCATTGCGGCACCGTTTTTCCGTTGGCTAATTGATACCTAGGAGTTAAGTTTCTCAGCCTCTTTAATTAAGCATTTCAAAATTTAGGCAGGGATTATTATCCTTCTCTCAAGTTGTGTTCATCAATTGTTTTTTTTCATCTTTTGGAGGTAATTTCCAATATACTAGCCAAGTAATTGTTTCAACGAAATCAAACTATTACGTTTAGAGAAGTGATATTACCCAGATATTGTAGGAGCAAACCTTTAGTTCTCATATATTATATAGTCTAAAAGATATTTATATTCTGTGTATTAAAATGCATTGTATATATGTCTGCTTAATCCCTGCTTAAGAATCAAGTCTAGAAGGTTACTCCACCGCCTATCTCCACATAACATTTTTTTGAACCCTGATATATACATTGACATATATTTGTAGACACACACACACTCATATATATATATATATATATACACACACACACATATAACACATGTATATATGTACATGGAGTGAGGTTCAGGGAAAACCTCCAAGAAATGAAACGATGAACACCCTAATAAGATATGCACATATGCATACAACTAATTGAAGATGTTTCATGGTTTCTATGCTCATGTGCATACTTGACAAATTACTTTGCTCATGTGCATACCGGACAAAATACTTGTATGCACATGTGCATACCGTACAGATGAACTGGTATTAGGCCTTATTTTTTGCGATTTTCCCATGAACCTAACCCTTTGAACATGTACACATCTTTTATATATTCATGTGTGTGTGTGCATGCACCCAAATCAAGCAACGGGAGGGGGGGGGGGGGGGGGGGGGGGGGGGTTGCCAAGTGAATGGAGTTGTATGGGATGAGTTCATTGTGCAGTTTGTGTATATATGTGTTTGTTTCCATTATATGTGTTTGTGTGTGTACTATCAATACAGCAGCTGTGTCTAACACTTTAAACTTACTCATACATGAAATTGCATTTGGTGTTTCTCAGCGAGGCCTCGAAGCTCGGTATCTGTCCCAGATTCCAGAACCGAAGACGGAGGTGCAATCGGGTTGGCTGCAATTGTGTAACCTTCACATATTACCATGTACAAAGCAAGCTTTATTCAGTTCCAAAAACACACAAAAAACCACCAGTACCCTTTGAAACATTATAATCCTTACCTTCCCTAAAATCATGTTTGCCAGCAAAATGCTTAAGTAGTATCATTAGTTTTCTGTATCTGGTTTTTATTATGTAATATTCTTTACTGATACGTATTTGACCCGACTAATCCATACGAAAACACTGCAAGTTCAAGCCTTCTGGTTTGTGGACGGGCACAAGCACGGCCCAGGAAATTGATAGCATAACAAGAGCCAGATGGCTAAATCAGGTAACTGCCGATTGGTCCTAACCTTCGAACGCTTAGAATCGGTCTTTGGAATACTCTATTCTTGAACTGGTCTATGGACTAGTCTGGATTTTTCGTTCTTCCTTTTTTCAATTTTCAAAGGTCAAAGAGGGCCGTGGGCAAGACCGGACAATTTCTCTGATGTTTGGTATATGAGTAGAACTGGATATGATAGGATTGGACGAGTTGTCCTTAGAAAATGAGACTGATAATTTTTTGGTTTTGTCGTGTTCTTGTCCAATTTTGTTCGGTCGTATTTTCGTGGAACAAAAAAACCATTTGCTTCATTCAGTCCCACTCAATCCATGTCACATTTTGCACAAATGTGGAACAGTGAGTTTTTCTCCTATTTCATGTTGCGTCAAATGTGAAATAGCTGAGTTTTCTTGGTACCAAAAGTTGCCATTGGATTTCAAAATTCATTGTGTTTTGTTTGACAAATGTTATTCAAAACGCTTTGAATTATGTCAATTTTTCAAAATAAAAATTCAAAAAATAATCCCACCAAAAAAGAGAATCTGATTGTGCAAGACGGCTGTATATTGTAATTTTAATTTATAAGTTTTCATGGATAAAAAAACAGAAGACAAATTATAAGGGAAAAAACGATTTTATATTTATTTGATTTCGTCAAGTTTTAAAAAAAATTATTTTATATTTTTATTTTATAATTAGGGGTTGTTTGTTTACCTCTTAATAGTTCTATTAAGAAACAACATTTGAATCATTAAGAGATGAATCTTGTTTGGCATAAAGAACTTTGCCTTTTAATGGTTCTAAAATTTTCTGAATGATTTTGTATCATGGGGTTTCCTTAATCATTCAGTGTCTTAATTTCATTGTAAGCAATTACCAAACAGTTATATTTCATTTTGCATTATATCATGAAAGTCTTTTAATCATTCTGACCATTTAATCATTCAATATCAAATCATTCAGCAATTGACAAACAACCCTAAAAAATTTGGTCAGTAAATATTGAACTTTATTAAAAGGCCACACATTCAAAGGTTGATGAAGCGGATTCCCATAAAAGAATTGCATAATCATTGTACTTGGACCATTAAACAAATGATGATGAGATAGTTGTCAAGAAAATCGTATTGATTGAAGCGATAATTTATATTTTCTCGGTCAAATTATCACGTATCAACATAACTATAGGTGGCTTCACATGCTCAATGCGTATTGTGATCATGATATGTGAAACATAAACATATGCTAGATATAGATATAGATATAGATATAGATATAGATATAGATATGTAAAAGCATGTTTATATTGATCAAACATTAAAGTTTAAATATTTTCGGGAGATGAAGCTAACCAAAATGAAGGTGACACTGAAGAAGATGTTGCCATTGAAGATTAAATCCTGACGAAGATGAGTCTTGGCAATTACGAAGCTTAAGCATCGTTTGATCACTTTCCCACTGAAGGGATCTTGACAAAAATGACCTTCTGGGGCAACCGAGTATGAAAGTCTCAACAAAAAGTACGAATATGATTTAAAAAAGTATATGCTTATTAATTGCTAACTGTCAGAATAAGTGAGACGCATGCTAAAGGTTCTACAACAATTCTGGAAGATAACACTTTGTCTGCAAGTACACAAAAAACACAAAAAAATTATTTGTACAAGTGTGTAAAGTAATCATCAAAGAATATAGAACTCTATCAACTTACTGCAAAGACCAGAAGATGATCGAACCTTTTGATCTTTACTCATAAGTCCTTATACGTCAGTTTACAGCTACGTGTTGTATAAACCAGTGAGGTTCCCTTTTTGGGTGTTCGAGAATTAGTTCTTCCGAGGGCTTATCGTTTATTATCTTCATGCTTCTTAACACTCTTTATTCAAAGATTTTCTAAAGCCGGACCGGTGAACCTGAAGAACATATTGACTACTATTGCAAATGTCACTTGTAATCTTAAAATCGTTTTTGTTATCATTCTATCCAGATGCTATATGATCTTGGCTTAGACTGGGTATAACGTTAACATGGTTTAGGAGTTTAATTTCATGAGCTAACTGATGTAATTATTCATCACAAAGTTTAACAAGATTTAAGAACTATATTCACCTCCTGTACATTGCATGTCCTATTCTTTGTGATAATATTGCACCATCAGGACAAACATAACATATCGTTCTTAAAAAAAATATCAAACCTATTGTTCTTCAGAAATACAAGATAAGTGATGGACAACAAATATAACATGGATGATAAATGAGGTTTGTTCACGTGAGACCAGTCTGTTTTTTGTGAGATCACCTTTTTACACTTTAAATTTCACAATAAAACACTGTGAAAGTAAAAAAAGCCGAACTTTCACAGCAAAACACTGTGAAAGTTACCTTCACAGCGTTTTGCTGTGAAATTTCAAGTGTAAAAAAATAGTCTCATGGGTCTCATAAAAACATATTGGTCTGATATGATCCCAAATCATGATAAATAAAAGAAGAAACAAATGTAAATAAACTACAAAATATTGGTGCTTTGAACAAAATGTCAAAATTAGAAATAATTTTTTGACATTCCTTAAAAAATAATCGTTTGATATTAATATTATTTCCATGGAATATTGTTATTATTATCATTTTAATATAAAAATGAGTGAATCACATATTTGGTCCTTGTAGTATAGTGAAAACTATGGATTTGGTCCATTAAATTTAATAACTACATTGATGGTTACCATGGTTTCTGTTTTATTACATATTAGATCCATTCTTCTAACCACGTTAAAGAAAATCTTGTTAAGCAATGTTAACTTGAATCCTTTTATACTTAAAAAATAGTTCTAAAATACCTAATTAGGTGCTACCATGTGTCATCCCCTTCCTTCCTCGTTTAATAGAGACAACCACTACCCACCATCGTGGCTAACTGCCCCTACCTTCTCCACTGATCTGTCGTGACCCCTCACAACCACCATTCTCCCTTACAACTCAGTCGCCTGCCATATGCCTACCTTACCTCAATTACTTTCACTTGTTCCATTTCCCCTCTCCTACCACGCCCTTCCCTCATCCCACTACACCTTCCGTCTCATCCTTCTCTTCCCTCCCTTTCCAACTTCCTGATCTCCATTTAGGGCGATGCTGCAGTAGCTAAAAATGGAGTTGAAGCTAGAAATGATGCTTCAAAAGCAAATGCATACATCGATGCACCACCCAAGGCTACTGCCACCATTATCAGAGTAGAGGCAAGATAGTCACAAAGAGATATAGATAGACAAATAGATGGATAGGAAGGTGGAGGGCTAACGAAGAAAGGTTTTGTGAGTAAAGTCTTCATTATATATATAAACACATATTATATTAATTTTTATTTTTTTGAAAATACAATGAAAGAAAAAGACAAAAATGACCCTCACTTAACGACAATTTTCTAATGAAATGCAAAGAATAATGACCATCACTTTATTTTATTCATTTGAGAGACCTAATCCGGAATTCACCAAACCGCAAGGACCAAATATGTAAATTCACTCTAAGAATTATATGTTTTGTTTTTTGTTTTTCACTTTTAACCCTAAAAGATAAAAGCAGGAGGGTCTGATCGGACGGTCAAGAGGAAGCACCGTAACGATCGTAAGGTTGGCAGGATGAAAGGCTGTCAACGCCAGGTCACTCTATCTTTTCTCGTGGTCTGAATGATTCCCCCTTCTTTCTCTATATACTCTCCTCTACCTTCCCTTTCCCATTTCCAAAAATTCAAAGCGAGCAAAAGAAAAGAGAGAGCTGAGGGCTAGGGTTCAACTTCCCCGGCGTCCTTCTTCTCCGAGATCGGCTTCTGCTCCTTTGAATAATCATCGTCTTCTACTCCGATCTGCTTTCTATTCAGGTAATCCTCTAGACTCCTTTTACTTTCCTTTGACTATCTTCTTTTTGGTAGGTTTTAGCAATTGATGATCTGAATCTCTTGAAGTCGTCTTATCTGATGATTGATCGGAGCTGTTTTGAGCTGTAATCGTTTTATTTTAAAGAAAAGTCTTCGATTTTAACTTTGAAGTAGTAGCTTCATCCGAATAGTTGTTGCGATTGTTTGATCTGATTCTAATTTCTATAGATCTGTTATTTTTGGTTTATGTTTGACTTGATATGTGTACTTTTCGTAACATGAAGTGACCAGATCTGTCGATTTTTTATCGATTCTGGTTACTACGATCTGTGGTATTGGACGATCTGTGATCTGCTTGATTCACGTACTTAAAAATGTGAAGATCCGAGGGTGGTTCTTATCGAACTCGATAACTATGATGTGTTTGGTTGGTGGTGTTTTAATTTGTTTTTAGCACATAACAATGGGTTTGGATGTTGTGTACCAAGTAAGTTGTGGAGTTACGGTTAACTTTTGTTTATGTAACTGCAAAGAAGCACACACACACACACGTCTTCTACGAGTATCAGAACTCACAAACTTAACTGTTGTAAAGATTTGATTGGTACTGTTAAGCCAAAGGTCAGATGGATAGATCTCTTCTATGTGCAATTGAGGATCATTCATTTTTTAAAGTCTTTCTTTCTGTTTTGTTTACTAGTTCATGCACAATTTAATCTGTATGCCAGAGATGAAGTAGAAGTTTTATATCTATCTTTTTGTTACAGTCTTGTAAAAATGGCCGATACCGAAGATATTCAGCCCCTTGTTTGTGACAATGGAACCGGGATGGTGAAGGTTAGTATTATTTTGTTCTTGTTCTTTTGCTAATTATATCGGTCTTTCTTGCTTTGGCTATGTTCAATTTGACCTTATTTGATTTGCTAATTAAATCTACAGGCTGGGTTTGCTGGTGATGATGCTCCCAGGGCAGTCTTTCCAAGTATTGTTGGTAGACCACGACATACTGGTGTTATGGTAGGAATGGGCCAAAAGGATGCCTATGTTGGAGATGAAGCACAATCAAAGAGAGGTATCCTTACCTTGAAGTATCCCATTGAGCATGGTATTGTCAGCAACTGGGATGACATGGAAAAGATTTGGCATCATACTTTCTACAACGAGCTTCGTGTTGCTCCTGAGGAGCATCCCGTGCTTCTCACGGAGGCACCTTTGAATCCTAAGGCCAACAGGGAGAAGATGACTCAAATCATGTTCGAAACCTTTAATGTTCCTGCCATGTATGTTGCCATTCAGGCCGTTCTTTCTCTTTATGCCAGTGGTCGTACAACCGGTTAGTTTTGATTTCCTTGCCCCTGTTTGATTCTTTTTTGCATCAACATTTGATACCTAAACGAGTCTTTTGTCACACAGGTATTGTGCTGGATTCTGGAGATGGTGTGTCGCATACAGTGCCAATTTATGAAGGTTATGCTCTTCCTCATGCCATCCTCCGTCTTGATCTTGCTGGCCGTGACCTTACAGATTCCCTAATGAAAATCCTGACTGAAAGAGGTTACATGTTCACCACCACTGCCGAACGGGAAATTGTCCGTGATATGAAGGAAAAACTTGCATACGTCGCTCTTGACTACGAGCAAGAGCTTGAAACCGCAAAGAGTAGCTCTTCTGTAGAAAAGAACTACGAATTGCCTGATGGACAAGTGATCACTATTGGAGCAGAGAGATTCCGTTGCCCAGAGGTTCTGTTCCAGCCATCATTGATCGGAATGGAAGCTGCTGGTATCCACGAGACCACATATAACTCGATCATGAAGTGTGACGTTGATATCAGAAAGGACCTTTATGGTAACATTGTTCTCAGTGGTGGTTCAACTATGTTCCCCGGCATTGCTGATAGGATGAGCAAGGAAATCACTGCTCTTGCTCCTAGCAGTATGAAGATCAAGGTGGTTGCACCCCCAGAAAGAAAATACAGTGTCTGGATCGGAGGATCAATCCTTGCTTCACTCAGCACCTTCCAACAGGTAAAAAATTTCAAGACACATTTTTCACTTGTAATCAATTTATATCACTGCATCAAAACTAACTTGTTTTGCATTTGTTGCTATTCAGATGTGGATCTCCAAGGGTGAGTATGATGAGTCTGGCCCATCCATTGTCCACAGGAAGTGCTTCTAAGTAATGGATTTTGTTGCTTTTGATGGTTGAGTTCCCTTTGTTTTAGTTGGTTTTTGGTTTTCTATTGCCCTTTTTTCGTGTTATGTTTCATGTGAATTAAGACTGGCAGACGTTGGTTTATGGGGAAAGCTGGTTTACAAAAGCATATCTCATCCCTCAAGCTTCCATGGCTGGTGCATTGCTCCGCTCTGATCTGCCCCATTTGTCAATTGCTGCCAGGGATGTTTGTAGTTGAAGAGTGGTTGTGATGTCTTATTATGAATTAAAGCTGTCTGTCGGTCGGTCGGTCCTTTTTAAACCGTTTGTTGGCAATAATCATGTCAATATCTACTGTATCAGAAATTGTGTTAGAGTCAGTTTGTGGTCATTTTATCAACTATAAGGATTCTATTTATTGCTGCGTTTACTGAGTCTCTAAAATGCAACAACCACAATCAAATTCATCAATTCAGATGATACAATGCAGCAGCAGCAGCCCCCCTTGTGTTTACAACTAAATATTAGATCCAAGGGAAATGAAAGAATTAAGACGTGACCTAGGGGTCATTGGTTCTGTGTACTCGGGTGATCGATAGAACTCAACCAAAGGTGTGAGTTTGCAGCATATAAACATTATAGGGCAATTATCCAAAATAGCTGATCCCACCCCCTCTTCACTTTTTAGTTGGTCATCTTTTCAGCTTATTGATCGAAACAGTTGAAATTATGCAAATGGTATTTATGCTACTTTGTGTGACTAACTTTTTCAATATAATATTTTACTTGTATGACCAACTTTTTCAATATAATATTTTAGAAAAGTAGACGTTACACATGTTTGTGTGCTATTTGCGTATATTTATGTGGACAATCTATGTGGTATACACTCCTCGGGTGGTATGCTTATGCAATATTTTTTTAATATTATATTAAAAAAAGTGGGTTATAAATCTTATTTGCATAATTTTGATTATTTCGGTTAATAAGTTAAAATGTGGCTATTAAGTAAAGAGATGGGGTCAAATTGACTATTTTGAACAATTCTCAATAGTACTTGTTTCAAAAAGGAAATATTGTGGGCTTGGCTCAACTATCAATAAGACAAGCTTTTGGGGATTCTTTCCAGAAGCCACCGGTTCGATTCCTCTGTAAGAAGATATTCGTGACTGTTTTCTAGTGTCTTTGGATTAGCTGGCAGAACACCATAATTATCAAAAGAAAAAAGGAATTAAGATGTAAGCTCCCATTGGTGGCCTTGTATGAAGTTTGTGATGGAATACATATCGACATGCCTGGCCGGAATCCGGCTACTCCACGCCACCCTTCCCGACAAATTGGACCCCTTACCACTGTTACCAAACTCACCATAATAAAGCGTCTTCAATCCAAAATCACCCGTCCACTCTGTCCACCCCTCCGCTGTGATCAATGCCTCCATTTTGCAACCGATGAAAACCGTTCTCGAGAACTCCTTCCACGGCCTTCCCAGATAATTCTTGTGGACTTTAGGGTTACTATGGTATAACCTCATGTACTCTTCCGTTCCATTCAGGAAACAGTTCTGGAAGACAAACCCTGTGGACTGTGCAGGGTCGTTCCGTGCATGTGCGGTTACGGTATTCGTTTCGCCCTTCTTGGGATTCTGTTGACGAGGGCGAATCAGGATGGTGCAGTCTTGGAAGATGGAAGCTGAGTTGCCAAAGATGAAATCAACGTTGCCCTCGATGTGACATGATTTGAAGAATTGGCGATGGGAGTAGAGGTAAAGGGTGTCTTGATTGCTCAGGAACTCGCACTTCTCAACAACGGATTTGTCGCTTTCGGACCGAAAGGCCACGGCTTGGTGCGTCCCAGGGCCGGCTGTGTTCTTGATGGTTAAACCACTTGCCATGAATCCGTCCCCGACTACCCCTGTCGCATAAAAGTTGTTCAAAAAAAATTTGTAACCAAAAGGATCATTGTCCAATAAAGACCTCGGTTCACAAAATTGTAATAATTTCTTCTTTTACTTATCAAAATCAATATTTCATTATTTATGATCTTTAATCCTAATTTATCTATACCACCTTATAAATCAGATTTATCAAAAGTCTTAAAAACAATTTTTAATGCACAAAGTACTATAAATTTATGCACAAAGTCTTAAAAACAACTCATAATGCATTATTAAGTACTACTATCTTATGCATTCAGTCTTAAAGTCTCTTAATCTTCAATTAAAATAACATATTGTACAAGTTACCAATACAAATGATTACCTTTTCTTTTCTTGTTTCTAAGATCCTTTTGACACCTCTCACTCATGTTTTCACCCTCTCATGCCTCGTATGTCTTATCTTCATCCCCCAAGGTGAGATTCAAACTGATATATTCACCATGAGTTATTAAAAGTTCTCTTATTCATCTCTCATTCAATTGCTCTAGAACTCTTGGTCTCACTCTCGATCTCTTGATTCTTTGCTCTTGGTGTAAACCGAACACATTTGTGGAGTTGTTTAAATATGTTGGGTTTTAAATATATTAAATTTTAAACTGTCATACCATTTTTTTTTCCATCGATAAACTGTAATTGGTACCATATAGATTGTATTAATATGTAAAGATCATGTGCAACTTATATCATCGTTAAATCTTCTATAGTAAAACCAAAGAAACTTCAAAATTCACAGCTCCCGCAGTATTATGCAGGTACACAACTAGTCATTAAGTAAATCATATTTTGTTATGAATAATTATCTACAAGGTGTTTGAGATTGCTTATAAAAACAACTTATTGACTTATTGCGGTGTGTCACCGGTAATAAACACTTTTAAGTATTTGAATAAACAAGTTATACCGGTAATAAAAAGTTTTAAAAAAATTTAATCTTTCTAACTTATAATATACTGATATGTATTTTTATAAAAAAGTATAACGTTACGAAACACCCGTGATAGAAGGTCACGGATTAACCCCATAAATACCATTAAAAACAAAAGTCAGAGAGCACGAAAGATGAGTGTGATTTACCGACAGTGGCTGAGCCATACGTTGAAATGCCTGGCTGGCCCACATTCAGACACCCCGTAATTACCGTTTTGCCCATCCCCTCCCCCAAAATCACCACATTCTGCTTCTCAAGCGCCACCCGAACCGTTTCCTTATACACCCCTGCCTTCACCGATATCACGAACCGCCGTCCGCCACCCCAATCCGGCGCTGCATTCACCGCCTCCTGTACCGTCCCATACTCACATCCTCCTCCTTTGCACACCGTCACATCAGCCTTCAACCCCGCCGGAATCCCCAACTGTTGCCTCCCGCCGCCGACTGCCTCCCAGAACCCCTCTCTCTCCGTCTTCGGCGGCATCCACGACGCGAGTTTATCTCCAAACACATCGTACGCCATCATCATGCTCAAAGCATTGCTGAGGTAACCGATCAACGTGTCCATAAACGACACCGTTTCGTTGATCATCTTCGTGTTGGTCTTGTTCACGTTCTTCAGTGCGTTCCAACAGCCGGACTGGTAGAACAATGCGGCGCTGGTCCAAGCGCGGCCGTCCTTGATCCTACGACGTGGCAACGCATTGGCCGTTAAGTTGAGACGGTACTCCGCGTTGCGGAGGTGTTCGATGCAGTTCTTAGCGGCGGTGGTTTGGTTGAGATCGCCGGCGGACGCTTGCAGGATCGAGTGCACCTTGGACTGGGCAACACGGAGGTTGTCGGAGCAGACGGATAATGCGAACCTAACGATCTCCAAGGGATTTGCCGTGGGAGAATGGCGGAGTGAAGATTCGCAAAGTTGTTGATTCCTAGTAGCCTTACAAGCTTGCCGGATCTGCTCAGAGGAAGATGGTTGATACGGAGAACGGTGGTGGCGGACGGCGGCAGAGGAGGTTGGTGAAATGAAAACGAGAAGAGAGATGATGATGAATCTGATAGCCATGGAATGTGGTGATCAATTGGTTTTCTGCCATGCATTTCATCGAAGGCTTATATAAAACTGATATGAATTTAACGGTGGAATTGAAGGTGGGTCACGTTAGATTTAATATTTGCAACCGTTTCTAATCATTTTGTAAATCCTCTGATTCATACAAATCAATTTTATAATGAATATCTGATTCTATCAAAATACTGTTTTTTTTTTTATTAACCTGGATATCTAATTCCGTGACTAATCCCAGGACGACCATCTGTTTTGCAGATAGCCCGGAGTCACCGCATTTGAACCTCCATGGCCACAAGGGGATTTTTATTCCTTTTTGGATTTGAACCTGAGACCTCCTAGTATTTTTGATCTTAGGAGCCAAGCTCAAACCAATCAGGCACCACCCTTGCGATTATTTTGATTGTTTTATAATCTAAAACGTTGATCATAATAAATAAAGTCTAGCCATATTCGATAAAAGATCTCAATCATAATAAATAAATCCACAACATTTTCCATAAATATCTTAATCGTATGTTTTCTATGTATAAGGAGGTTTGCAAATGATTGGGGCCACATAAGAAATAGTTCAAACGAAAAGACACTCATTTTACGGGAATGCAAGATCACTCTTGTATTATAATCAATCATGTGTGATTCTATAGTCCATCACATTTCATACTAAATTAGAGACACGGACGACCTTCGGTACAACCTAGATTAGATAGCGGGTTAAATCGCCCGCACACTGTCTGATCCCCTCACGTATGATAAGATGTTCTCGTAAAATGAAGATGTTTTCGTCTAAACCTCCACTTAGGTAAAGGTTGGTTCAAACGAAAACAGATTCATTTACGAAAACACGAGAATCTAGACACTACGAGCGAAGGCGATAATAAAAAAGTACAATAATATAAATACTTATGAATTTATAGGCTTAAGAAAAATAAGTCATCAAGTTTCTAAAATGTTAATAGTAATATATTATTGAGAAAATGGCTGAATGATAAAGCTATATATGTCTTGATTGAAAAGTAGACATGCAAGGCGTTGTCGGTCACATGTATTGTCGTGGGAGAAACCCCTCAACTAATTTATAGTATCGTTCATTCTTGTTAGGATCATAAATGGTAAACCATGACCACCTTTTTAGAGGTGATTTAATTTCTTTTTAAAATTAATATATATATATATATATATATATATATATATATATAGGTGGAGGTTCAAACGAGAACCCCTGTGATTTACGAAAACGCGAGAACAACTCAATAACCACAAACTTTTTTAATTAATAAATTAACTTTTATTATATATAAATAATTTAATAAGGGCAGTAATGTAATTRAGTAATTTTTATAATTTTTATTTTATTTTAATTAATCATGTTTATCTTCACGTTTCACGTCTTCTTCTCCTTCGATCACGTCTTCTTCTCCTTCATGCGTCTCCTTCGTTCAAACGTATTTTCTTTCTCGTTCATCATAATCTACACATAGTCGATGGGTTAACATATTTTCTTCATTTCGGTAGTGTCTATATTTTTGTCTATCTAAAATGGACGACTTGAATGTTGTTGGTAAGGAAGTTTGTTCAGGATCAAGTTATCAAACGACGATTCTGTGGACTTTTCTCAAGATTGTTTTCTCGAAGACAAATTTTATGAAAGTAATTCTGATAACGACGAAGAAGGTACGATGTGATAACATTAAAATATGTCATCAATTTTCATGAATGGTTTTTTAGGGTTTTTATTACATGTGATAAAAAGTAAAAGGACTTGTGAATGTAAACATTTTTTGTCCATTTATTATTTTTGGTATATGTTGATTTGAGTTTAATGTTATTCTACTTTTGTAATTAAAAATTTTGATGTTTATCACATGTGATAAACATCCCATTTTTTTTAGTTCGCTACTTTTTAAATTGAAAAGTTTGATGTTTTATCACATGTGATAAACCGGATGTTTATATGTATGTGGATACTCTTTGGTTCGTTTTCCATTAAATTTATGTAAATGATGCAGCAACAACTGCTTTTGACACCCAAAATGTTGATGGCATCGACTTACCAGTGATCACAGTAGCTGTGATAATGATGTGATAGATGTGATAATTGTGTGATAGATGTGATATGAGACATATGATTGATGCTAGTAAAYAATGTAAATCAGCAAGTGAAAAATGATAGCTATTTTTGTAATCAAGATGGTTAATATCACCTTCAACTTGTAACACCAAATCAATTATTATAATTGTGATATCTATGTAAGTGAGAATTTTTTATGTTTATCACATGTGATAAACATCTCATAGCTACAATTGTATGTTACTGTAATGTTTCTTGATGAGGTTGATTTTGTTTTGAATTTAATTTAATAGTAATTGTGTTTAGTTTTATTATGTCATATGAGACTTTGTTAAGTTGGTTTATATGTATATTGTTTTCTTTATTTATAACTATTGGTAATTGTTTCATAGATCATTTTGTGTTACCAGCTCAAGGAGTGATTGGAAGTCCTTGCTGTGATGGAGTTTGTATCCCATATGTTCCAAGTGAATTTCAACCGGTTGTTGGATCAATCTTTGCATCTTTGGAGGATGGAATTGAAATGTATCGAAGGTATGCCGACATTGCCGGGTTTGATATTCGACTATCAACCCAGAAGACAAGGAAGGGTGGTATAGTCAAACTAAAATATGTTGTTTGTCATAAGCATGGAAAACCAAAAAAGAGGTCGGTTGACTCTGTTGAAGTGGATGGACATCGTAGACAAGTACGAAATACAAACTTTAAAGTTACAGATTGTAAAGCATCTGTTAGGTTTAAATACATAGAGGGATCTCAATCATCATATAGATTATACTATTTTTGTCCCAACCATAACCATGATTTGATTGATGATGCTGATAGAATTTTATCACGTAAGAGTAGGCAAGTCAGCTATGATGACAAAGTTATGGTTCACCGGTCGGCGATGTCAAATATTGGGCCTGTAAGAGCCCACAAGTTGCAGGTTTGTTTGAAAGGTGGATATGATGAAGTTGGTTCTACTGTTGTTGATTATAAGAATTTCAAGAGGGATCTCAATAACTACATTGGTGATGGAGATGTACAAATGGTGGTAAACATGTTGAACGACAGAAGACAATATGGGACAAACTTTGTATTTGAGTATAAAATTGACAATGGTCGTTTGGTATCAATGTTTTGGGCMAACGAGTTGACAAGGTTGAACTACGCAGAGTTCGGTGATGTTATGTCATTTGATGCGACATATCGTTTCAACAAGTACGTTAATGTAATGTTATCGTAATTTGGATTTATTAATTTTTATGGTTTCGGCTTATATTTTATTTTTT